TTCGAGTTTTTCTCTTTCTTTTCTGTTCCTTTTCATCGTTCTTTTTTTTCTTTTTTTTCTCTTTTCTTCTTTTATCCTTTTTTCTACGTTTGCTTATTTTCGTTTCTAAATGTAAATGTGGTCCGATCGTGATGAGCAATCCGACGATTAAAGACCAAGAACGTAAGAAGACAGACGTTTAAGAACTCACAGAGCACAATACAATATCAATCCTCTAGTAGTAACTCCAAAAATATGTTATTCTCTCCTATATTTATAATAACTACGCTATCTATTCCTCGCAAAAAGTCAGTTACTTTGTTTTACAAGTGATAATATATATATATATATATATTTATATATATATAATTTTATACGAACTATCCATACAACGCGATGAACATTTAATTCTAAGTCCACAAAGAAACGTAATTTTATCTGTGGATGTCCCTTTGATTCCATTTTCTTTTTTTTTTTTCCTCTTTCAATCACTCTTTCGCTTTTTTTTCTCATTTCTGGCCATTTCGACGCGAGTACCTGTATTTTAACAGTATTAAACTCGTTCGTCGAACGTTTTTCGTTTCGCGATGCCCGAATGCCCGTACAGAGAAAATCCATCCTCTGCCTCCGACAGTCCTCTTCGCTTCTCCTTTTCACTTGTCTCCTTTTCCTTTGCTCTTTCCTTTTTTTTTTCTTTCTTTTTCCTCTTTGCTTTCGATCACTCAAGTCCCGGCTAAACCCCGCGTTTCTCGCGCGAGCACTCGGGATCCAACGTTAGAGATTCCACACTAAATAAATTTTCTATTGGACACAATCTCATTAACATTTTAGGCACTACACCTAGACACTAAGAAATCACTCCGCCCCCCCTCTGCCCTGATGCGATAAGAAATATATGTACAAATTTAAAAATGATTAAAATAATCGTATCTCTATAGCTTCGAGTGTATACGTACGCGTGTGTGTATGTCGTGTGTAATGTATGATGCATTTTGTACATGTGTGTCGAGTGTGTTGATGTATCATCATCGTGTCACCCGAAAGGAAGAGGTAACTGTTACACTTACGCCCAACAACGCGTGAAGCATCACGGTCTATCCTAGAAAAATCGTATATCTCCATAGCACAATTTCCTCGTTACAGTGGCAAAATATGGAAGTAAAAATCTATCACAAACATTGTCTAATCTATCGTGTCACTCGAAGCGAAATCCGTGAGAAAAGAAAAGCCTAAGAAGAGGGATAAATGGTGTAAAGAATCGGAGCTAGTTAGACGATGAGCAGGCTAAGGTAACGTCATATCACCCTATCGGAAGTGACAGTATGACAGCGTATATAACCTTCTGGATTGTTGACGACCAACACCCTAGCATTTCGCGCCGTATGCACGCTGGCCTTACGAAAAGCCTGACGAAAATGACGCCGCGCAAATGTTGACCCTATAATTAATAAAATATCACAACTAGAACCATCGTTACATTTACGGTACGTTTCCAGAAAAAAACAATCGTTTCGTTCCCTCCTATAATAGCTTCCGTTAGCTACTGCTATTTAGATACTCGTTCAGTGACGGTGCTTACTTACATCTAATCGTACACAGCGTAAAACGTGTTATTACAAAGTAACAATTACTGCGCTAATATGACTTTGAGCTTGTACTGACTGACGATCTACACCTAAAATGTGAGAAACTAATATAGGACCATTGTGTAGTTGCGTATACGTTCTAAACCCAAAGCTGTTAATTAGTAATAACATCGACAACGATATTCTATCTGTTAGAGAGTAACCAACATCCGACTCCACAAGCTGACCATCTAAAATCTACTACCCAAATACTTTTGCGTATTCGACGCTAATAACAACGTGAACATAATAAAATAACATACTTATACGTACATATATCAGTGATTAATCCGAATCGATCGGCTCTACGATCGACAATTACAGTCTTATGCTAAACGTTACGAATATTACACATCGTCAGTCAAGACTTGCTCTTTGGATGAAGAGAGAGAGAAGACAGAAAAAACAAAAAAAAAAAAAGAAACAAAATACAGAAACCTGACTGAAATTCTCTCGCTTATCTAGTGACACGTATCTAAAATACGTTCGAATGTACAGAGGGGAAAAAATGAAGCATGGTGGTATGACTATGATACGTAAAGACTGTCGCGTGTACATCCTACGCGTGTTTGTGCATGTATCGGTACGCGCGGGAAAAAATGAAAACCACTTTCTGTACATACACACGCGCAACAACGGTTTCCCATTTCCTTCCTCTCTACGTAGAACGCGAAAAATCTAAGGATATGACTTTTGTTTCTCACGACTCTTACGAGAAGAAAAGTTTCCGAGTTCTCTTCTACGCGGATACAATTTCTACGGTTTATATGGAAGCATACATATATACATGTAGGCGCGCAAACGTGTTCGTATAGTTCCTAATTCTATATCATCGTACCGATTATTTCGCGTGATCGATACAACACGCAACAGGCTGATTGTAACTTTTCTTTGTTTCCGTTTACTGCAACGTTTGCTGTACACGTTCTATGACTACTCGTTCGCAGTAAATGTATAAGTATGATTAATCGTTAAACAGGCACATCGACTTGGTTACACAATTACGTTTTCCCTTGAATTTTATATAGAAAAATCATAATGCGCGTTAAACAAACATACCGACGAAGCCAATTCGCTCATTGATAAACGCGCTGCTCGAACTTGGAACCCTTCGGGGGGTGAAAAATTATAACGACGCTTGTTCAGATTCGCGAAACTCAACGAGGAAATATCGTTTAGGTATTCGTGACGGGTGTCGCTTGCAATAAATCTCGCGTTGCTTGATTTTCATAAATAATACAGCGTTCCGAATGATACCCCGATCGAAACGCGATGGAGCAGCGTTCATTTTTCAAACTCCAATTTCTCAAGTTGGAAAAAGAATTTCTTCACGATATCGGTAACGTATGTAAAATTTCATACCACTCTCACTGACATGGCTCTCTCTTTCTCTCTTTCTCTCTCTCTCTCTCTCTCTCTCTCTCTCTCGCTCTCTTCCTCTTTCTCTCGGTTCAATCATGCTACCACGCTCGCTTATTCATCCCGACTTGCTCGCTCGCATTCTCGCTCTAAGTGTAAAATACTTCTAATTAAACTCTGGACATGGTTCACTCTAATCAACATACCACAGCTAATATCTCGTACGTTATCATACAGCTATGTATATAAAATAATTAGCAAAACAATGCCTAAGCGTCATCCCATTAAAAACCACGAGATACACGTGAGCACGCATAACCCCTTTTTTTTAAAAGTGTGTCACGAGTCGTAAAATGATGTGTGCAAATCCATTCTTACAGCTGTTCGAACATGAAAATGTAGGAAGAGAGCCACTCGCGATAATTCTATGTACAAATCGATATTTGGGCATGCACGTGTACATCGAATGCAGTTTTTCCCGAAGAATTGCGGTAATCTTTTACGCGGGGGAAATGAGAAATTTCTCTATATACCGACGTGGAACAGTGCGAGAAGGAAGAACACGATTCGACGTAGGGGGGAAATGAAAATATTACGAATAGGATTGCTAAAAATGTTGCACCACTTACGCGCACACATCGCGATAGAAAGAATCGAATGTACGTTGAAGAAAAATATGTGTGCAATCCGACATTGTAATAGCAGACATCATAATGCAACGAAGGTTTCCCTCTTTTTCCACAGAAGCGTTCAGAAAAGATGAGCAGAATGTATATCTCGTTTACACCTTTTCCTTTTGCGTTCGTGAAACGCAATTTCGCGATTACTGTACACACACCTCCGTGTTGTTGCCCATGCTAATCGTTGTGTACTGCAGTTTTGTGCAATGTACTGGATACGTACACCCTTAAAAATTACAAGCCACGGTGAAATGCAAAACATGGAAACGCAACAGGGGAAACAAAGATGCGAAGTTGAAGGTATAAAGATGTGCTGTACGAGAATCGTTCGATACTGAAAAACGACACGTTGCGAGAGCACGAAACCTAACCTCAAACGAATCTAACGCAACTCTATCGTGAACGCGGTATCTACAGAAGAAGAAAAAGAATCTGCGAACTGCAAGTGCGATTATCTTAAAAGTCAGTGATGCCTACTTGCGATAATAATAATAGTAGTAATGGTAATAGTAATAGTAATAATTATGACGAGGACAATAAGAGTAATTACGTAGTAAAAATAAATAGTGTGGCTGCTGCGAGGAGGCACAGCTTTTGTCAAATACAAGTTAACCGTGCGATCAAATATATCCGTAACATGTTCGAATCAAAATAGAAGAATTCGATTCTAAAACCCAAACACACACTTTTGTATAGCAACGTCCGCCAGAGGAGTGCGTGGAATTACACCAGCATACTTAAAAAGACGGCTCGAAATAAAATCTAGCGAGAAAACTCGAAACACATTTTACAACAAATCAATGTGTCGTGTATGATTGTGTGTATGCGTGTAATTGATCAACTCCCTTTCAACTAGCGGATATAGAACGGGAATCTTCATCGACATCGATAGCCCGTTCGAAAGAGAACGCTTGAAATACATTTGAAGCGTTGTCACGCTCGGTAACAAAAATCTCGAGTCGGTGGAAATTCCAACGGCCGGTCACCGTGGATCTAACCGCGCTAAGATTGCCTTTTGTTAACGAGCATTAAAAACATAATGCGTATGATATGTATCATACCATAAAGAAATGCAAATTTATTCCCGTTAACGCTGAACTTCGATAAAAGATAACTCCGCGAACCGTTGTACCTTCGAGTAGAACGGTTACGCCAAATCACCGGCATCGATGGCTTTCCTTTTTATCTGCTTAAACTGCGCATAATTTCGAACAATGCAGGCTCGATCGGCACGACAAGATCGCCTGGTCTCTCTCTTCTACATCGTGGTAAAATTTCTCTTTGGCGCGGCAAAACGTTCTCTCGTCGGAAACATACAAAAAAAAAAAAAAAAAAAAAAAAAAAAAAAAAAAAAAAAAAACAAAAAAAACACGTCAAGTATATAACATATATACTGCCACGTATATAACATATGCGCCGTCTAAGTCGGACAAAATTGTACATCGATCGTATCACCAAATGATATTTGGAAAAATAATACAAATACAAATCATCAAAGCGATGGTTCACTGAGGAAACGATTGCGCAACGAGAGGCATCGAAAGGCTTCCTCTGTGTTCGTTCTCTATACTCTTATTTCTCGTTCGCTACTTTTCGTTCGCTTTTGCGTTCCAAATATGATCTCCACTCTACCAAACAAAAGGAAAAAGACAACACGTTTCACGATGGGCGTGTGACAAGTACGCTAATGAAAGCATTAGGACGCGACGCAAACGCGCGATCAGTCTATCGAAACCTCGGACCCATATCGTTTACTTTCCCTGTTTCCCAACCGGAATCTTGCAGAACATTGATATCCCTTTTCCTTTATCGTAATAGCACACTCAGGCAGTTCGAAGGGGGCAATCGCTGTTTAAGGACGGATTGTCAAAAAGTTTAAGTTGAAGAACGACTTCGATACCTTGTCTCGGGACTCCGTCGAGTCTTTTCAGTCATGAAATTCTTTTACTTTCTTTTTCTTTTTCTCTTTCTCTTCGTGACGATATAAGCCTAGTGTTTTACTCTGTGTTTTTAATAGTTGATAACAGTATCGCGACAGATCCCCTTCGTTGCTAGTAAAAAAACACGTTCGCGAGGAATGAATGCGACGACGAGGATGATGGGTGGTGGTTCTCTTTTTCCTTTCGTTCAATTTCGTTTCTCTTTCGTTTTGCTTTCTGCTGCGATCGGTATCTCTCGACCTCGTGAAATTTCATTAAAAAAGGAAGCGGCGGAAACTAGTGCTCGCACGCCGTTTTATTTTTCTTCTGAAACCAGACAGAGGAATAATTTACTCGGTGAACCACAAACCAGAAGGTTGATATTGATGTTTGGCCGGTGAAAGCGGGGCCAATCCGTAAACGGCTGTTGGCTGCATATGTGCAGGCAGTGGATGCGCTGCATGACTTGCCAGCAACGGTCTGGCCGAGCTGTGATGAGCTGGTGGTGGCAACGCTCGACTAGAATCATACAACGTTAATGGAGACGAGCTGTAAAAAACGGGATAATGAACGTTAGAAAGTCTCCGTAATGCTCTAAAAAGGGAAATGAAACATTTGTTTTATAAAGATCATTTCTTCGTTCCACACGCATACGGTTTTATAAGGAGATAACATTATGCGTACATATATATACATATATGTATATATATGCATATATATACAAATATAGCGTACATTAAAAGAATCGAATAATCGACAGGTTTCTTTTTTCTTTTTTTCTTTCTTTCTTTCTTTTCTTTTTTTCTCTCTTTACATAAAATACATCGTTCGTTTATGCTTACGTAACGTTTCTTCTTCTTTGTGCATTTAATCTAAGCAGGCAATCAATGGTCTACTTTGTACAAGATACATGTACACTCGAGCGTATAAAATACATACTGTACAATCATTGTAATGATATAGTTTCTTTACACTTTGATATTTAAAAGAAGAAAAAAAACAAAAAAATAAAAAAAAAAAGCAAAAAAGACGAAAGATAAAAATAAAAGACAAAAACAATGTTATATATCTTTTAAGAAAAGAATATTCGATTAAACCGATCGAATATATATCATAAATACATCACACGATCTTTACAACGTTACATGCTATTGTGAACGAGGTAAAACAGTTGCACGGGAACGCACTATATTGCAATAATAATAACTACGATACGATCACAAATATAACAACATACGATGAACTATCACTAGAACGAAAATATAATAAATGGTACACACATGCATGCATCAACTAGGTGTCTAGGTACCCACCCGGGTGTGAATCCCTGATAGGTGGGCACTTGTTGCTGCTGGATAGCAGTGGGAGCCTGAGTAGGCGCGGCGGTAACGTACACCGGGGGTGGCACGGCATGGGCTCTTGAACGCACATGGGCGTACTCCTGGTACAGGGGCTGTCCCAGGTGCTGGGCACTTCCTATTACAGGCCCCCCTGCAGGACTTCTGCCCCCGCCACCGCCCCCAGGACTGAGGTGGGCCGGATGCCCATGATGACTGTGGGTATGACCCGGATGGGCTGCCGAACCCACCACCTGGCTCTGCCTACAAAACCCAAAACAAAATCCATCCCTTCGTTATGCAATTCCCATGCGTTCTTTACTTACTGTAAGAAGTCTCTCTAAGAGGACAGAGACCAAACCGACAGAGAATCAATGATCGATTCGTTTCCGAGATCCTTTCACATTCACTTTTACTCTCGGTCTTTAACTTTGCGGAAATAACATAGAAATTCATGCTGTTTACTTGCCCGACCATGATACTCAGCCCGTCTGTCGTCTCGACAACGTATACACGAGCTGCCCGTCATCGGTTTGGTCATTTCTCATTCAAAGAGATAACCTACATGCAATCGACGAACTACGTGCAAAATCTCTTTTAACTGTCTTATTTATCTTTCTTCTATCTGTTTCCTAGATATTTCTAAATCTATGCGTGTAATTGTACTACATGCCTCGATAATCGTGTAATTCAAACGCGACATGCGACGCGAGGCTTACCTATACTGGTGTACCGTGTTTGCTACCGCCCATTTCTGATGATCTCTGGAATGAGCAGCCGGTGGTTGAACGTACTCGTGTTTGTACTCAGCTCTCTTTCCAGGCCATGATACCCGCTTGTCCGTGCCGGTCGTATACACAATGTGCTGCTCTTGAAGGTGGGGATGCGCGTTACTCGTGGTCACATACTGCAAGAAGTAGTCATGCATGTCATAGGCATCATCCTAGAAAAACATTTCCAAAAGAAAGATTACTAAAACACGGGAAGGGGGTGTCCAACGAATGCAGTGCGAGATCGTCGTTATTGTTCCTCGATATGGCTTGGAAACTCTTGGTTGGCCGTTTGGACGTATTATGAAAGAAAAAAGGGGAAAGAAAACGAACGAAATGACGAGCAGTGTGAGGAGGAGTAGGATAACGTTCTAAACGAAGAAGAAAAATCGAGAAACGTAGGAAACAAAAATGAAATTCGAATGAAAATTTAACCTGATAGGTCGGTGGCTCTTTACAGGCTGGCGCGTGACACGGATGTGGTGCAAGGTACTCAACGCCGGGCTCCGGTTTTGTCACAACGTTCACCATATTGCACTCGGATTGTACCTTCGCCAATAAACGTTTCTTTTGCGACTGAGACGAATATCCGGAGCTGCTACTGCAATCGATAACATATTGACGTCACATCGCGAATGTTTCATACGGCATTATAAACTTTGATTGTCCGGCTGATTACCTGCTGACGTGATGCTGCTGTTGGGGTTCGTGTTTAATTAGCTGCGTAGTTTGTTGATGCTGAGGATGTTGTGGCAAGTGTTGGTATAGATGATTATGCGCTCGACCTGGACTAGCTTCGCCATCGCTATCACCGACAGTTACACAACTGATAATATTTTTCCGTTGCGTTCTCTGAGATGTACTATGCGCTGTTACGTGTCCATTGGTATGCGACTGACTAGTCGAATGGGTTTGTTGCATCGGTTGGACCACACGTGGTGTTGACTGCGTGCTGCAAGTAAAAAGTACGTGAGATAAGTTGAACGCGAAACAGTTCGAAAACAGATATCCCCATACAATTGAATATTTGTTACACTGAGCATGAAAAAATGGCATTAAACGCTAGAGCTGTAAGTCAAGAGTGTTTTCAGTCCGTAACAGAGGCAATTGGCATTCCAAGAGCTACGATATCGCATTTATAAATTGCCCATATTATACGTAATCTTTCACCCTGCTATGTTTACTGGCAAATGCAATAATGCGAAATACGTTAACAGCTTCGATATCACGATGTTCGTCGTGTTATACCATGTTCTTAGCGATTATTAACCATTAATCGATGCTATTGTGTGTGTGATTGCTACGTTACATTCATATACCTTCGTATGACTTCTTCGCGGACTGGACGTCCATCGCCAGACAGGCGAGTTGCCAAATTTTGACAGGCTCCGCATTGCCGATCTCCACAGCTGTCAATGATATTCATGCATGATTCCACTACTTTCTATTCTAATAAATTACTAATAAATATGTTTCACGGTGGAAACGTCTACGGATGAAACTTATCCGATAAATCTCGACAAATAGAAAAAAAAAAAAAAAAATGTTACAGAACAATAGAAAATTGTAAACCAGACACTGGATAATGATATTTTCAAATTCATAATGCTACAAACAACTTTTAACGAAGCAAGATAACAATAAATTAAATATTCTGCTTGCTGTAACATTTTAGTTACATTCCACGAAAAAATGTAAGGCCGTTCTCTTCTAATCTTGTAATTGCAGACAATAAATTTCTAACTACTTTCCAATCGTCTACGAAAATACGTAAATCGACTCACCATTTGCCCGGTGTTTCGTCTTCGCTATCACTAATCGTGATAACGGAGACTGCAGGTGAAGGTGTATCGTGAATCGTAATGGTTTGCTGCCGACCAGATGTAACTTGATGGTGTTCTACGTTGTGACTACTGCTGTGTTTGCTGCTATGATGATGCTGTTGCATGGGTTGCTGTTGCCAATGACCGTTCGAAGGTGAATGCCGTCTCATGTTACTCGGTGGTGTACTTTCTTTTACCCTCTTTTTCACCGGACTTAGCTGTTGCGTTTCTTTCTTATGCTCATGCCTGTGCTGTGACTGCTGTGGTACCGTCACGTGATGTTGATGATGTTTCGTCACACTACGTTTGCCCCAACTCTGAGGCGGATGCTCAACAAGGGCACTAGTATTATAAACTTCTGTGACAGGAAATACTGGCCGCTGATCCTTCCCCAAAACAAGGGAGATTAGTTAAACACACGGTCGTTCGATTTACGAAGGTAATCGTTAACGAAGGTAATGGACGTTTACCTGCAGAATAGCAGAACTATCGACAATAAGAGGTCTTCCCCAATCTCCAGCATCGCTCAGTAATGGCTGTTGTATGGCTGCGTGCTGCGGTGGTAATTGCTGCCAGGATGGTACGATAGCAGCCATTTGACGACTTCCACCAGGCCAAGATGTTTGTACAGCATTCTATCGAAGAAGGTGAAATTGTAATTAGTCGTTTGTGAGAATTTTGGGAATCGTTCGTTTCAAGAACACTTACGGTTAACAACATTTGACGACCAGTTTCCACCATAGATACAGGCACCGCTGCATACTGTTGCTGTGCAGCTGCAGCTGCAGCAGCAACAGCCTGCTGTGATATAATCGATGGTTGTATCTGTAGTGGTCCTTGTTGTGCTTGTGGAGGCTGTACAAAGTGTGGAGCCTAATTTAACGATCAAGAATATATAAGATCACTGCATTAAAATGAAGAACATTATCTCATTTACTTGAGCAACAACTACGTGTTTTGCAGGACTTGGCATCGTCTGATAGCTGGATGGATGACAAAGTAGACTAGGCACCAATTGATGCGGAAAGTCGTGCACTCCATTTCGTCCACTATTCGATCCGTTAGATGAGCTACTGTACTGGGTCGCACGACGACTACTGTTACTGTATATTTGATACTAAAAGAAAGAGTATACCGTGACACAAAATGAATTCTGTACAAAGGTATTTCGTATCAAAAAGCACAAGCTGCCGACATAATAGTAAACACCCAATTTTCGTTTAACGTAACATTGGATGTTGCATCGAAGAAGCGCGGAAAAGAAGAAAGCAAAAGGAAATGTATATACGAACCAGATTGTCATATCCTGTTTGTGCAGTCCGATGTTCTCTGACCAATCGCTGTACTTGATTAGTTAATTGGTTGTTAAAGGTGAAAGTTACGGCACTACCATTTGTCGTCGGCACGAAATTAGCTACCAATGACGTTGGTGGAGGTGCCTGAGGTGCTGGAGGAGCTTGGTGATGCGCTGGACTTGCAGTGAAATCACCGGCTCGTCGGCAAACCTCCATCATTTGGACGGAAGCCTTAACATTGTTACAGTGTGCATAATCGACTAAGTGGGCCAGCGTAACAAAGGCATGGTTCAGAGCCTCCCCGGGTGTTATGCGGCGCTCCTGGAAATCACAAGTAGACGCAGTGGATAAAGAATAACACTTCCTTATTCTAAAAACTAGCATCGTTGCATTTCAATGGTCCTAAAAAGTTAAACCATGAATTAGATATTACTACCTGGTCCATTGTGAGCATCCTCTTCAAGAGGTCAATGAACTCTCTTCTATCTGCTTTTTCTGCCAAAAGTTGACCACCTTCCAAATCAGTCGGGACATTAACTTGACCAATATCGTCGAGACAGTTAAAAATATACTTTCTTGCCTCCTTAGATTTGATACCAGTTTCAGCCTCATGCTCTTCCGGTGTTTTTAATCGCCAAAATGGATATGTGCCTGTAATTAATTTTTACGTGAACCGTGTGCACTTGTTCCTCCGAGAATATCGCAAACGAAATTATCTCGTAAAGTACTCACTGTCCATGTCTCTGTAAAAGAATTTTGTTGTTTTGCTGGCATTGTTTAACATGTGTTCCGTTGGTACGCCCTGCGTTTGACTTATGTATCGAATCTGATCGTATTCCGAGCTACCAGGATATAGAGGCCATCCTAAAAACAATTCAGCAACCACACAGCCAAGCGACCACATATCTATTGCTTCGCAATATGCAAGTCCAAGTATAATTTCAGGTGCACGGTAGTATCGCGATTGCAAATACGTGTTGCAGACAGCTTTAGACACATGAGAGGCTGACCCAAAATCAATAACTTTCACACGATAAGGCTGGCGTACTGGATCCACCAACATAATGTTTTCTGGCTTAAGATCGGCGTGAATCAACCCCAGTTGCTGAAAGCACAAATTCATAGAGTCATCGCATCAATAAACGGCAAGCAGCAACTGTTTCAACGTGTCTAGAAACGCAACTTACCTTGAGTTTCAAAAGAGCTGTGAGTACTTGTTGGAGAATCGGTCTAATGTATTTGAGCGGCAGGGGTGAAAATTTATTCTGTTTCAAGAAATCATACAGATTTTGTTCTAGCATCTCAAAGACCAAGCAGGTATGGGATTTGTGCTGAAAGCACTCATAAGCGCGCACAAAGTTGAACTCATCCGCGTTTTCCTGACTGAGTCTAGACAGGATGGAGACCTATTCGGGATGAGAATCGTATTCATTCATAGTCCAGGAATAACAGATGAACCAGACTGACCCGGCATTCGCATAACTCACCTCAATCTGCCCTTGGCGCGCATACGATGGATGGTTCTTCAAAATTTTGATGGCTACTATTTCATTGGTTCCCTTTTTCCAGCATTTCACGACCTGGCAAGGAGGAACGAAACGACGTTTACTTTGAAATGCCAGGTATAAGAATAAATCGGAAAAGGGAATAGATCGTTGGGTGAGATCCTTACCTGTCCAAAAGTACCTCTGCCCAAAAACTCGAGGACTTCATACTGATTAGTCATAGAATAGAGAACCTCGTGCTGTACCAACTGGTAATCTCCGTCTCCTTGGGGGTTGCTGCCACCGCCTCCATTGGCAGCGTTGGTCACTTGCTTGCTTTGTGCCGTCATGCCTGTCTGCTTGTGTTGTTGTTGCTGCTGCTGCTGTTGTTGTTGCAGCTGCTGCTGTTGTTGAGTATGGTGCTGCGACACTACAGTACTACCCACTGCGTTCGTCGCGTTGGCGGAGTGGACTGCCAGACCGTCACCATTACCCTCCCTCGACCAAGTTTTTCTCTGTAGGAGGAATACACCTTATACAAAAATTTGTGGACGTTAAAAGATCGTAGACAATCTGAGATATCTTTGATTGGGTGGGGACGATACCGACGAACACACGGAGGAATGAGACTTGGACGATGCCACAATGTCGAGAGACAGCACAAACCCAAAAACACGATCCGTAGGGATCGATGCGATCGATAAGGCTTTGTTACACGTATGCACACATACACACACATAAGCGCGCGTGTTGCTGAAAATTAGTCGATGGCACACGGACGCGAGGTCGGCAAGACCCCGCGGGGGAAAACCGGGAAAGCAACGTTTCGGGTAACATTTTAGACAAGCATAACGGTTACATCGTTTCAACTGTAAACTCCGTAAACTGAGATTTAGTGGATATTAAGAAACGGTCCGCTAGTAACGGAAATACATCACGATGACCGGCATGAAATATGAAATGAAAGCCTGGAAGGCAATCGATAGGTAACTACGCCGCGCAGAAAAGTTAGCCGAGAAAACGATCGCTCATCCATCATCGCTCCAGGTACTTCCGCGATCAACGGGCCAACGAAAATCGATCAATTCGCTTCCTAATTACACGAGGATGCCGCGGTATCGGCTCGCGAACCGGTTAATACCGCGGATGCGCCAAGACAAAGGACCGCGGACGTTCTTTACATGCCTGCATGAAACGAGGCTACCTTTGTGAAAGTTACTCCATCAGAGGTATTAGACGATATTAATCCGTGGCTGTCGAACGCTGGCGATTATCATTCCGCGCATACGTTTTCTCTCTTAGCGACTCTTAGCTCTCGGCTCCGACTTCATTTTTCGCCCAACGATTTGGAAATCGCTGTCGTCGTGGCGAAAGCCGATCACAGAGTGGATTTTCGAACAGAGCTGGGGGAAAAAAAAGCGAACATGATGACCGTTTGTCCGCGAACGTAGAGCGAGGCGGTATCGTGGTCGATTGCGGAAACGAAGATGGCGGGAAAAATAAACGGGGGGAGCAAGTATCGCGAGCAGACGAGTACGCGTTCTCTTATCGAAGAAAACTAGCCGTCGAATGACGAAACGAAAGCATTCACAGAGACGACGAGGTCGTCGAGGTTCGTCTAGTCATGGAAAGCTCTGTTGCCCGGAGGCGGTGGGACTCGGGGGGGGACTAGAGACACCTGGAACGGTCCGGGCGGACCCTAGTACACGCATTGTGAGGCGCCGACGGGCCTCTGCGCGGCGAACGGCCGAAATAAATCCGAGGCTACTCCCTCTCACGTCGGCATTGGTAACTAACGCGCGTTAAAGCTGGTCGTTCCCCCGGTCCCCATCTGGACACGTCGCGTTGTCGCGTCAGAGGACGGATGGAAGAAACTCTCCTTCGGCTTGTTTTTCACAGCGAGAAGGCCCCGCCGTTAACGCTTATTTATAGTCGTTTGGAGCGGTACGCGCGCCGTCTCATCGAGCGTATCGATAGGAAAGGAGGCAGTGGGAGGAGGAGAGATCGCGAGAGTACCGCGAATACATTATCCTCGATTACGAAGTTCTAATCTAGGCGCAGGCAAGCGTATCTCTGGCGTCCATCTCGCGATGGTCGAAAGCGTTAACGTCGGAGCTGGAGAGAGGAGAGAGAGAGAGAGAGAGAGAGGGGGGGGATAGGTCGACTTTCCTCGACGCGATCGCGCGGGTCAGAGGAGAGTTATCGGTAAGAGAAAATCGCAGGAAGTGGCACCAACCTTCTGGCCACAGCGTTGGTACGTGTCTAAGAGCTTGATCGTCGAGGCTCGTACCAGGGTCTGTTGGTTCGGGCTACTCTTCTGCAGCGCATTATTGTTGTGCAGCGAGCTAAATGCGGTATTAGCACCGTTCACGGAGTACCGTTGTTGCAGACCGGTATTGTCTAATTGGTAGTCGCCGGTCGATTGGACCAATGCGTGTTGGATCACCGGCTGACTCACGTTGTACTCCAACTTGCGTTTCTTGCTGTGGTGGTGAACGGTGTTGTTACTGCTGCTGCTGCTGCTGCTGCTGCTGCCGTTGACGCTACTCGTCTGCTGTGTTTGGATGAACATGTCACACATTCCCTGCAATCACAAACGGAAACACGCTCGTTAGTCGATCGTTCTCCATCCACCACGCGAGGCTTCTACCGCGTGTACACCGGTGTGTATACAGGACGTTTGAACGTTTCCCGATCGGAAGTCTGACGTTGCTGCAAAAGCCACCGCTTCCATCCACGAGAACCGCGGTGCAGCACAGTAGGCATCTACGCGACCGTGTGTTTCTAAGTTATCTAAGAAGCGTTATCGTGGTCGGCTCGACGGTGAGCAGTGGTAAACAAGGGAAAAGCGTAAGAGGCGAAGTAAAGAGACGAGGAAAAACAGAGGAAAAACAGAGGAAAAAAGCAGAAAAGAGAGATAAAAAAGCGGGAAAGAGGAGGAAAAGGGAGGAAAAGTGATATAAACGAGAGGAAGCGATGGCAAACAGAGGATAGAGAAATTTCGTATATATCCCTGTGGATGGATTCTGTGTGCCGAGGCGTGGTGGCTAGCAGCGGGGGATCGAGCCAGAGAAAAGAGGGGACCGACCCATCGCGCGTCGTTCTGATTTAGGCGAACCGAGAGAGGAACCCACGGCTCGCCATTGCGACCAGGCGACGCGCGATATATAAAAACGTACGCAACAGCCGACCACGGCGACTATGAATATTTTAGTGTCTCCTTCACGTACATGTGCCTTTGTATGGTTCCACGCTGATTCGGGCCAGCGGCTCTCAAAAGGCATCTACGGAATATCAGGTTTCTGCGCGTTGACACTCCGAGTAGCTGCAACAGGGCAAACATATTGGGTTGGTCTCTGTCGAGCTAGCGCCTCTACCATCTTCTTTACAATTCGTTTCCCTAAGCGAAAAACGCATCTGTTTCGTCCAGGTAGGGATCTACAATTTTGAAAAAGCCCCGGGGTACCGCTACCCAGGGGAAGAGGTCGATTAATCGCTGCGATACTCATCCTGATCATCCATAAACCGCGTTTTACGAAATTAACCACCCGATAACATACTCCTCGCCGATATTTCTCCCCTATCGATCGCGAAACGGACGCAAGTGCGCGCGCGAATCGACCTTACTGCGTACATACATACATCAGGTGTGTGCACGTACTCCTCCGTCGAGTTACTGCGAGAAAGAGGAAAGCAAAATCGAAGAGAAAATTGAAGAAATAATAGAAGGAATAGGGAACGCGATGAAATTGAGGATCCGCGAGCGGATCCGGATTAGCGGGTTCGACGCGTGACGGATGTTTCGGAAACTTTCGATAGCTCGACTCGGTTTCCGTCCCCGCGACTCCGACACGCGCTAGCACGCGTCCAGCTTCTATTCTCTCTCTCTCTCTCTCTCTCTCTCTCTCTCTCCCTCCACGATCCTCGTTTATCCGCGTGCACGACGTGCTCTAATTATAGTGCTGCGCTTGTCAGAAATAGTGTTGCTCCGTATTATGAACGATCTACGGTACCGCGAAGTACAGTTACGGTTTATGTTAGCCGTCTCGCTACCCGCTGGAGAGAGAGTTCTATCCGACTGGTGCACCGGAGATAACGATACGAGGTATACGGGAGCCGATGGGTCACGAGTCGCCGGAAGCTCCTCGTCCACGTGTGATCGCGAGACTGGCCTAAGGTACGAGGAGCACGTCGAGCAGCGTGAGTTCGAACCGCCTAGTCATGGTCGTTGGCGAACCGGTTCGAACGCGAGGGTTGGTCCAGCAGGGGTGGAAGGAAAGTTCGGTCTCGCGGGGTCTGGAACAGGTAAGAGGAAAACCTTTGGAGATACGGGTCGTGGGAGATTGCTGGGAACGGTTGGTTCGCGGGAAGGCGAAGAGAGCCCATTGGCTGGTGTTAGGTTAGCTTTGGGTTGGGTTGGGTCGCAGTGGCGTCGATTCGGCGGCACACCTTGCGTCAGGCGGACGTGGCTGGCGAAAAGGGAGGAAAAGGGCGGAAAAAGGAGGGAAAAAGTGGGATAGGCGTCATCGTCGTCGTCGCAGTCGTCGGCTGATAGCGTTTCCAGCGCAATGCCATCCGGAGTACGTGGTAATAAAAGGAGCAACTTTACGTAATAGCGCGGCAGATAGCGGATCGAAGGAGTTTCGGCTTACTGTGCTGGCAGCCGACCTTTATGCATTATCGTGTCGCTTGGTCATTGCGAATAGACGAGGTTCAGCAACGACGAAAGACTCGCGCCACCCCAATGATGATCGCGTTCGGTGTGTATCTTTGCATCGCGTCGTGGTTGTTCTTGTTGGATCTCTCGACTTAACCACGCGACTAGGAACGACTGGAAACTGCTCGAGTATAATCGTCACGAAGCCAAGACGTGAACGACGAAGACACTCGCTCAGGGGTACCCGGTACTTGGCGCGTTTCCGTACCACCGAGGTCCGCGAAACGGTCGACTCTGGCAGAACCGTGACTCTCCAAACGTGGACAGCTATTGTCTCTATCGCGATATAGACTGGCAACTGACGATGAGTCACTCTGTACGTCTCTCCTTATCCTCTCTAACCCTCTCTGCCGTCTATCTGCACAAGTTGCGCGAAGGGACGAAACGAAAGTCCCGGCTATGACGCGTTTGCGCTTGCTTGCGATGCACGCGCGTTCCAAGCCGCGATGCACGACGCTGGCCTCGACCAGACCGCGTATAATCGCGTGCACCCCGCCTACGCGAGTACACGCGGCAGTGAGTCAAGCTAGCGATCGCTAGATACACGGGAAAAGCCGAAAGTCAAAGGCACAGGTAGCCCGAGCTGACCCCTGACGTCCCCCATCGAGCGACTCTCTCCTCTCTCTTTCGCGGAAAACTCGCGTCGGTGAACATACATCATCGACCGTCTAACAGCGAGTCGATGAATCACGAAGAAATTACGGTTGACCAGGTCAAATTCCAAAAGCGAAGAGATAATTGTCGATTGTTCGCTGCCAACGTTGACGTCCGAGTCAACGAGAGTGCGAGTCGGATGACGCGAGCAGGCTAGAAACGCGTCGAACCACATCGATCCAGTCGATGGTAACCAATTGGACAATTCTTCGCATCTGACGCGTGTATAACGAGAGTCGCAGAGACACGCGTGTTCGAGGGGCTAAGGACGAATCAAGGGAAACGATTGGCAGACACATGTGCTGGCTGCATGCTCGACGTTTCGCCGCTTTATCGCCTTAGATAGAAATAAACGTATCGTCATCGATCAATTGCGGTGTTGGACTAGCTGGTCGATTGATAACGAGAGGAAAATAACGCGGCTAGAACTCGGATAACTAGAGTTTTTGCCAAGCACTCGCACCTCGGGAGTGCGAGAAGATTAATCGACTCGTGTCTAGCAAGCTGGATGGCACACGGGGGTAAAAAGGATATTCCGATTCCACGAATCCATACTCGCAGGCTCCTGGAGGCATACTCTGACGTGGTAATGGAATAAGTTACGCGGATTCTCTTTTTATCTTATGTTAAACAGTTAACAATGGCTCTGTGTCTAAGGCAAGGCTCCATCAATCTATCCCACTTGGTCCCGACGTGTCCTGAAGGATAAGCTCCCTTTGTTGCACGATGAAATACTATCTATTTCTAGATCTGCCATCTCTAACTAACAACGAAAATTCGATCATCCGTCTTTACAAAAGTCTCGAAGGAAGAAGGTCTATTACGCTGTAGCTGTTCAGACTCTGTTCCTTTCCAAGGTTCCCTTCCTAATTCTGCCTCTACACGAACTTTGTACACCACTTACAACCTACCTTTACGATTACGTAAAGCAGGTACACCTATTAGACTATGACTAATCAGATCCCATTTCTTCCATAGGTCATCTTTCCAAGTCTGCACAGTAGGTCTATACCGTGGCTCTACATAGTCTCTCGCGAAGTACTCTATTCGGTTCACGTGACTTCCCAGTCGATAAAGAAAATTCGTGGAAGCTATTTTCACGATTACATCGAGGAAGATGGACTTATTACGCTGTGACCAATCATACTCCGCTCCTTCTACATCTTTTCAACTTTGTTGCTGCTTCTTTATGAAGTATCCAATTCGTAGATGCGACATTTCAAGTTGTCAACGAGAAATCATAGGACCTATTTTCACGATTACATCAAAGAAAGTGTACCTATTACGCAACCGACCAGTTAGGTCCCATTAGGTCTCTACGACTCATCCTACCGACTCTGCGGATGCCTATAGCATTACCGAAAACCCGCAGAATTTGTCTTCGCGATTGTACCAAAGGAAACAAACTCACTCCATTACTTCGTAACCAATTAGATCACATTTTCCCAACTTCGTGTCCGAAGCAATAGCGAAACGTCGCGAGACCTATCTTCGCGATTACGTTAAAGCAACCCTACAATAGGATCCTATTCTCTGCCAATAACGAAACTTCCTCAGACATGTCCTCGCGATTATGTCGAAGAAGGTGCACCTATCCTGATATCCTCGGACTTGTTTCCAACCAGCGACATCCCAGTTCCATAGACACTCTCTGGATATCCAGATCGTACAAAGTTGAAACTCGCGATTAAGAAGTACACGCTGCTCCTTCTGCGGGAAAGAGGCTGTTGTTGGTCCATTGTAAATTAACCGTCTAGTATCGCGACCATAAACGTCCGCTGTTAGGTGATGTATTTATAACCCGCAATCGCGGGCACAAAAGTTTGCCGACAAATTGGATGATCGTGCGTTAGACTCCATTTTCTACCGGCGAGTTTTCGCGCCGGTGCTAACGATCGGTGCAGCATGGTGATCCTGAGGTCGCGTCGGCGGATGAACCGTGGGTACACGGGGTTCGTGGATCGAATACGAGTCGCTTCGCCGAGAATTGCCGCAATTATTATTAAAGCAAGGTTCAAGAACGATTTCCAACTCGGCGAGGGCCGTTCGTGCCACGTTTCCGATCTGTTCGCGAAGAAGAGGCACAGCCGGGTCTGCTGCTACTTTCGCAACTTCGTCCTCGGCAGCGTTTCGCAACTCGTTATCCTTCTTCTGCGAGAGCAGTTCGCAACGGAAGTGTGGAATAATTGCCGATTTCCCTTGCATTTTAATCTCTCGCCTCCGACACCCTGCCTGCAGACACTCGCGTGGATGCCGAGCTTGTTGGACCGGAGATTAAAGGCTGCTGGTGTTATATATACGTTTAGAAGATTAATGTTACGTTAATCGTTATTGCTTAAGCATCGTGGATGTTAAAACTTACGCAATTACCGTGGCTGGTTTCGCAAACCGCTGATGTGAATAGGAGTGCCGAATAAAAATCGAATACAGTTGTACTTGCTTCCTTCGTTCAGTTCGGCGAGGAGATTCGCGTCAGTGTAACGCCAATATATTAAAAATCTGCTTCATCGCCAGTTACGTCTTTCTTAATTACGAGTTTGATATATATTTCGTATATCATTCGCGAATAGGTTCGTGAAGAGAGTTATAGATCTTCTGGAACGAAGTGATGCAATTTAGTGGATATAAAATCAATGATAATTTAGTCATTTTCGCGGTATTTAAATATCAAAGACAGGAATATATTTAATTCATAGACCGTATTAGAGAAAAAGATAAAAAGGATGAGTCTTCTTGATGTCGCGAAACTGTGGCCAATTATTAATTTCTGCAATTTCTGCGCGAATTTTTCACGCTGTTTTAAAGGCTCTGACTCAAGCATAGAGCCATCAACGATAGTTAAGATCACGGTAGTAGACCTAATTATATTTTCAACGCGAATTTCCTATGCCTTTCTAGAAATTCTAGCTCGGACGCAAGATCACCAACGATACTTAATGTCACGGTACCAGGCC